GATAAAAGTCTGGCAGATCATCGGATAATTGCATGAGACTTGTCGTGTAATAGATATTCAAAAAGTCTCCATGCAGCTTCAGGTGTACTGACATATCTTGCATCAAGATGTGCTTTAATTTCATTCCATTCCAGAGTTTCTTGAGCGGCAGCAGCATCTTCTTGCATTGGTCGTTCCAATTTAATGTTAGCACAATCATGTCCCTTGTAAATGTATTTGAATAAATATTTAATGTTTTTGACAGTTGTACAAATTTCCACATTAATATGAGCATTGTATTTCATTAATAACTATGGATTATAAGGGACTATCCATCGATTATCAACTTCATACTTGCCAATGGCCATTGTAATTCCATTATCTCTTCGACGATATCGAGGATAGCCATCCTTATTTGCCATAGTTACATTTTGAAATTCTTTTTGAAATTCTTTTGAACATTTTCCATCTTCCATGCAAGGAGAGTGTGGATTTAATGTTCCACATGGTCCAGGAATCATATGTCTTCCTACACATTCATATAATTGTGGGAATCGGGCTGCATCGGGTATTTCAGTGCATACGATGCGATCAATATGATTGTCATCTTTTATTTTGTCTTCGCTGTCCAGAATAATAAGCATGTGGCAATGTGGTAAGCCACGCTTTTGAAATTCAATTACGAAGACATGGGCAATCGTTCTTCCCAATATATGCTTCTTGAAGAGATCATCAATAAGTTCATCAAGTTTGAGTTTAAACACTCTGGTAATTAGATCAGCTCTATCCGACGGAGCTGGTCCAGGAAATAGATGCTCTTCAATTTCTCTCCATGTTGGATTACATGTAAATGTGATGAATAAGTCGGGTTTACCATATTTTCGGACGATTGCCATTGCATCTTGATAATTTTGTTGCATTACTCTAGGGCCTCCTTGAAAACTTAATGGTAGTATAATGACTCGTCCAGATTTTAGCCCTTCTATTACTGCTTCATTTGCTAAATGATCCATTAGATCTTGGTATAATTCTACTCGAAGGGTCTTTTAATTTTGTCGATGAAATGCAAGGCGGTTTTGTTCAGTTTTAACATAGGCATCGACAATATATTGTTGAAATAATTTTCCTGCATAATGAATAGCACTGAAGGTCTGACGAATAGCCAATCGATAACTGTAAAATTGAAGCATTGATATTCTTGTCCAATTTCGTGATCGATCAGTTTTTTCTAAGTCCGGGTGCCATCCCTCATCTCCACATGGAAATAATAGTGGATAAATCATTGGATCACAGTGAGGATGTAAGATTGAAATAATTTGAAGATCTTTGCCACGTGGATGAATTGAAGGGTGTGGGTGTGGGTGTGGTGGTTGTGGATATTTCTGTTAGCATTCTTCTTAGCCGTATCTATGTCCCGCACCCACACCCGTACACTCACATCGTCTAAATTAGGATTCAGATAAACTTGACCATCTGCAATTCTGTCGCAGTTATATGACAGTTGATTAAAATTCTTAATTAGGAATCAGATAAGCTTTCTCTTTTGCTCTTCTGTTGCATTAATATGACAGCCTTCTTTGAATTATACCGGGTGCGGTATAAAGATTGTAACATTTGGTATTTTGCAAATATTACACTACAGATCAGTCGTATAATCTTGACTTTCTTTTTAAAAGAGACGTTGGGAAAAGCTCTACAAAAACTTTAAGAACAAATCCTTATTGACTTGTTCTGATGGTGTATTTTAAGCCCAAAATGAACGCGTCACATGACCGTGCTATGTCCAACTGTATTTAGCATGATAGAAATATTTGGAGATTTTTTGTTTTGCAGTAAGAATTTGTTCATACAGTTTTCGTAGAGCTTTTCACAGCGCATTTTTTAAAAGAAATCAAGATTATATGATTTATCTGTTGTTTGATATTTGAAAAATATCAAATGTTGCAATCTTTATGTCGTACCCGGTAGTATGAGACGAAATATCATATCCAGAAATGAACGGTCACTGTAATGTACACTTTGCAGTTTTTTCTGTTCCGTGTAAATCCTAAAACAATAATTCCTATACAACTATTTTTGCTTGCGATAATGCAGCTTGTAGGATGCCTAAAAACTTTTCTTGTTGAGTTGTATTCTTCAAAACCATGGCATAGAAAAAAAGTGTTAAGAAAAATATTTTTACACTCATACAATGACAATATTTTAACTTCCACGTCTTAGTTTGTAGATCAGATAAACTTCTAGTATTTCTATGTATTGGTATTAGACACGAAAAGCTGTCATTTCTAATAAAAGACAAAGATAAGTTCCTACGATATATAAAAAGTCCATTACAAAATCGAAAATTCTTCTTGTAACTAGTCGAAGATCATGATCACGTCCGTGCATACCTTTGAAAAATTCTGCACCCACTCTTGAAGGAAGTATTGGGAATCATTTTTGAACTTTCACTGAAAACAGACTGGACTTGATGACCACTTGATTTATGGAGTTCAATAGATGCTTCGTATTTGAATCATAACGCCTGAATGACTGAAGCAAAAAGGATGATATGATCTATCAGTCAGAATCGAAAACATATTGTTCTACTCTTACACCAGCACAATGTCAGATTAAAAACGATTATCACTACAAAAAATGAGCCGAATAGTAGATATTTCGTTCAAGTATAACTCTTCATAGTTACGTTTAAAATGCTTAGTTCCGTCACATGAAATACTCATCTCGATGCGCGTTACCATTCTATACGGTTGGAAAAAATATTATTCCATTGGCGTAACGCTATAATTTCAAATAGGTGATATGATGAATTTTATACCAAATGAAAGCCCGTGAAAAATGGGATTTATTGATGCTAAATAGTAAGGGTTATGTAAATCTTTTAATATCGAACTTAAGAAACTTTCAGAAATTTTATACATTTTTGGGGGTGGAAAAGGAAGGTGCTAGTAATACAAAATGGAGTAAAATGTTTTTCTTGGATATTTTTACATGGTTCGATAGAGCTCGTCGAGCTCTACAAAACTATATACTAAAAATTTTTAAACAGGATTCTTAGGTTGAAATTCACTGAAAACTGTCTAAAGAAAGTACTCAAAAATCGACATTTTGTAGAGTTTTTATAGGAGAAAAAAGTGGTCTTTTTTACAATAAATTCAGTTGTTTTCCATTTGTATCCTTATATAATATGTTTGAAAATATATTCATTCGGTGCAGTTTTTCACGCTGCATCGAATGAGTATATTTCGAAACGCCTGGGGGGGAGTAAAAATGATCAAAAAAGCTAATTTTATTGCAAAATCGAATGTTTTTCTTCCATATCAAAAATATCAGT